CCTCAGATCAAGAGATACCACTGTGAGAGAATCTGCTGAACCAGACGAAACGACGCAAACTGTGCAGCAGATGTCTTGGCATTTCAATCAAGGGATTAGTACCAAATCTGAAAGTGATGACGTCAGAAACATCAGGCCCAAGCTGACACCATCTAAGGCTTACCATCAGAATCCACGAGAGGTCCTCGAGTCAAGGAGACGTGACGCAGGAACTAGTCCTTCATCTTCATGGAATTTTCAAATTGACGAAGAAGATGTTGGCAGGAACGCTTCTGCCAAGGCTGGTTCCTCGGTTCATGAACCAGAAGGAACGAAACAAATGTTGCATGGCTCTTCATATGATCAGGTGCGAAATAAATGGGAAGAACAGACAAAGATGAGGACGAGTACGAGTTCTGAGAATGATAGCAGAAAACTCAGGACCAAACATTCGGATGCATTACCATCTTCTCTCAAGTCGGAAATTGATGAAGAAGACGATTTTGGTACAAATTCTTCTGCCAAGGGTACATTCAGTCTCCACAAAAGAGAGATTTATCCTTCCTCATTCCACAAAGGTCCATCTAACGAACAGTCTTGTATTTCGAGGGATGGCATGCTTCAACGAACTAGTGCAGGTGACGCGACGACACAGGCTGTATCTGCTCCTTGTCAGCGCTTAGCCGAGCAAATGCGCTCCAAATCAAAAAAGATCGAAAACCGTAAGAAAGAATTTGGTTCTATCTACAAACTTCCCACGGAAGAAACGATGAGACTACACAAAAAAATGATTGCCAGAAAAATCCTGAAGAACGAACTTCACGGAGTGTCGTCTACCCAAGAGAGGCGAAAAGAAAAAGTTCTTCTGGTGATGGGAGCCACTGGAGCCGTAAGAGCACTCTAATCAACGGCATGGTCAACTACATCATGGGAGTTGAATGGGAAGATGAATTTCGATTCAAGCTAATCACCGAAGATAGTAGTTTGTCCCAGACAAAGAGTGTGACAAAAGAAATCACTGCCTACACCATTCATCCGATGGAGGGGTCCGCCATCCCTTATGTGTTAACAATAGTTGACACTCCCGGTTTTGGGGACACTGAAGGAATGAAGCGCGACGTATTATCACCCAACAAATCAAAGAATTTTTTTCTCTCCAACCTCCCGATGGCATCGATCACCTTGACGGCATTGGATTTGTTACTCAGTCTGCCCTTGTACGACTGACTCCGACGCAGAAGTATATCTTCGACTCTATTCTTGCCATATTTGGAAAGGATGTTGAAAGGAACTTCTTTATGATGGTTACTTTCGCAGATGGCCAGGAACCTCCAGTTTTGGAAGCAATCGAGGATGCCAAGATATCCTATGAAAGCTCTTTTAAATTCAACAATTCAGCTCTCTTCGCGGACAAAAATAAATCAACAAAGGGTTTCGACAAAATGTTCTGGCAGATGGGACGCGAGTCATTTGAAGATTTCTTTGCCACATTCAGCAAAACCAACTGCGTTAGTCTTTTCCTAACAAAGACAGTCTTGAAAGAAAGAGAACAGTTGGAGGCCCTGGTTGAAGGCATCAACCCGAAAATAAAGCTGGGACTTGCAAAACTAGAAGAATTGCGCCAAGAGAAACGTATTCTAGAGGAGCATAAAGGAGACATTAGAGACAACAAAGATTTTGAGTATTTCGTTCCTGTCATGGAGACAACCGAGATTGACCTCAAAGGAACCGGAAGACACACTACTACATGCTTAAACTGCAACTTTACATGCCACAACGATTGTAAGATTTCTGAAAACAGCAAAAAGGAAAGTTGCGTTGCTATGGATACAGCAGGAAACTGTAAAGTATGCGATGGCAAATGCTTGTGGGACCGGCATAGGAATCTCCCTTACCTGATTGAATATAACACCGTCAACGAAAAGAGAACTTATGAGGATCTTAAACGGAGATACAACATAGCTGTTTCAGGGAAGTCCAGGGCAGAGGACATTCTTGCACAACTGACAAAGCGTATCCGTCAGTTACGAATCAATGTCTTAACCGACATGTACAAAGTTCAGTCGTGTCTTAATGCCTGGATAAAATTGCGTTAAAACCCGATCCCCTCACAGAGTTGGAGTACATTGAGTTGCTTATCCAGACCGAAAAACAGAGAAGCCCGAGAAGGGTTTGAGGGTCGCGTGAAGGCCTTAAATGAAGTCAAAAGCAAAGCTGAACTTTTGACCAAGGTAAAAAATGTTAATGATATTCCAAAGCTTGTAGACGAGCTGATACCAGTCGAAGAAACGAGCCGCTGTACTGATTTCAAATCTAAATTTCCAGCATTATGTATTGTATCATGAAATAATGAAATCTGTGCGATCTTCAATGAAAAAAATGGAGACTTTATTTGACTAGTTTTATTATTACATAGCTCCGTTTGTTCGAAGAAAATGAGTTCGTGTGAGCGCGTTCCTCTGTCAACAAAGATCGTTCAACAATATTAAATTAGACGTTTCTATGTAGAAAAATAGTTTAAAGCGAAAGAGTAAAAATCCTATACTTTGCTCTTAACGTTTTTTGCGTTTAAAGTTTTTGCATTTCTACTGCTGCAATTTTAATGGATTGTAGTCCCTCTATTAAAGTAGGGAAATCAGTATTGACTCACATCTTAAGAAAATTAAACTGAAACAGCACTTTATATATAGGTTACCGGTATGTCAATTATGTATATCGTTTAAAATTTAGCATACACTGTTAAAGTAGAGGACGGTGGACATTATTGATATTGTTGCCATACTGAGTGTTTATCTTAAAGGAGCTATGTCACGATATTTTAAGTCATTTTTGCGAACTGCAAAATCACCTTCAAATTAAAGAAAGCCTCAAAATAACAGTTTACTAAGGTAGAAAAACACCAAAGAGGTGATAATAAACCAAACAAGAACAAGGATGGTCGAGGATGGAGAAGATTAAGACGGATTGCAAAAGGCCAACTTGAAAAAAATTGGCCCAATTTTTTCAAGATGCGCCATCCGTCACGTAGCTCCTTAACTTATAAATATAATTTTACTGGAAAGAAATGATGGTATATATATTTTTTTATAAATTTACTGTGTTTTAAATTTCCCTTTGTCGTAGCTACAGTTAAAAAAAGTTTACGAACGGACTTGTAACTGTGATATCGATATACGAAATGCGAGGTCAGAAACCTCCGTTTATATAAATGCAAACAAAGGAACACTTTATAGCAGCTAATCATGATAGCTTCCGGCTACATTTATTATAATTATAATATTATGTTTTTAATGAAGGTTTTATAGGATCACAGTTGTTTAGGGTAGAGAAGCAATCAATAATGTTTTCAGAGATGACTAATTAGATTGTTTACTCAGATAACTAATGTGACACTGTTAGTGTTAATTAAACTAATTATATTCACACTTAAAAAAAAAGACCTGTCGCTACATTTTCGGAAATAAGAAGATTATTTCCCTGAAATAGGGAGTTATAGCAAACCACTACGGCAAAATGTTTAATTAACAGTCAATAGCTCTGCACGTGCGTTATACATATTGGTAACTAATTCAGCATTTTATAGATTAGATTCTGAGGATGCCACCCAGTACAGGCGGTGTGCATTACTATGTTTTGAACTTTTTCAATTCTGTTCCTACAATTTCTAGTTTTCAAAGTAATGCAAGTATAACAGTTAAGGTAATTCCATCGAAATAGAAGTTACACTGGGAAGTTTCTGAAACTTTCCCTAGTTGAACATTGTGATGTAATGTTTCAAAATATAGAATAAAAAGAATAGGTCACCAGCCCCGCGAAAGAGATATAATCGACTAAAATACCTCATAATTCCTTACAAAATCAACCAAAACACGTATTTTTCACGTTTTTAGTGATTATTAATTTTCCTGCACTGAGAATTGGTCTGTACTCCTTGTATAGAAAGAAGATGATTACTAGACATATGCGAAAAAAAATGATAGGTCACCGCGCTCGTTTACGAGAAAACAATCATTTACCCCTCTGGCGAGCATAGCCACAATGAAAAAGCCGCCATGTTTTTAATGTGCGCGCGCTAATTACGCGCGAAATTATGCGCAGAAAGGATGCGCAGTGCAATACTGAGGAATGACCTTAAAGTAGAGAAATTTTAAGAAATAAGATAACTTAGTTTTTTCACCTATTAAATAACTTAATAAGTTGTTGTGGATGCCACCCAACAAGTAATATTCTATTATATTGCGTTTTAACATTAACATTATATTACGTAGCTGCAATTGTAAGGTAAAGTAGATAGAATGTTTCCGAAGTCACTTAAGAAACACTAAGAATGATACGGAGGCCGTTGTTTCACTTTCCTATTATTACAGTCTGATCATGAAGTAACTCTAGTATGATATCTTTAAAAATAGGAGAACTACCGAAATAATTTCTAATGGCATACTCAGTTTAGCTATTGCGGCTGTCACCATTCAATTATTATTTTAGAGTTAAATTTTGTCCTGCACTGGAATATATAAATTTGTTGCTTGTTGCATATGGTGATAGATAGATAGATTTAAAACACATACAATGTGTACCGTGTTCTGTACGACACAAGTGCTTCGGGATTAGGTCAGACACCAGTTGATTCTCAACTGAAGAGAACACAGCAACGTAGCAATAACCCACTGGAAGTGTGTAAGGAGTATCTCTTCAAGTTGGGCGTGGTTTATCCTCCTTTAGCAGAAGCAAAGAACGCGGTTTCTTTGGAATCCTCCAAGAAGACATGCGTACTATATTCACCAGCCCATCTGAGTTGATGCAGGGTTCAATTCCATGTCACATATTCCAGTTCGGGAGAGTTCTTCATATTTGGCCAAGGCCGGCATCGCATGCTACAGACGCAGCGATGTCACCGCATATGGATTTTTTTTCAGGTAGACATATTTACATAAATTGAGATAATGAGCTTCAGTCGTGCCGGTAATGTTGCGGTACGTGACTCTTCTACCCAATTCAATAGCTTTTCGTACATTGTGGGTGGCGTGGTGGCCTAATGGTTAACGTTTTGGACTCCGGATCGAGCGGTCTGGGTTCGATCCCTGACCAGGGTGATTGTGTTGTGTTCTCAGTTGGGCAAGACACTTGGCTCTCACATAGCCTCTCTCCACGTGCACCCAGGAGTATAAATGGGTACCAGCGAATTTCTAGGGCAACCTGACAAAAATTCTGGGGGTTATGGCTGTCATGGACAAGCAAAAAGGGAAGTAGCAATTCTCCTAGTTGCTTCATGCTATGGAAACCGGCATAAGCTCAGTCCTGATGATCCGTCTATTGTATGCTTAAACAATTTGGTATCACGAGATCGTCATCGTCATCATTGGTCCTTTTCGCTCTATGTGACGCATAAGACCTCCACAGGAGCTGGCGCCGCCGTCAGTTCATCTGTCTTTGAATGGGGCCCAAGGAGAACTACAGGAACTGTGGAGGCCTTATGGATTTTGAGATGCATAAATAAAATAGGCGTCTTCTTTGTGACCTTGCTTAACTTAAACTCCCTTATCAAGAGAGGATAATCTATCCTCTCTTGCCCTTACTAATTAGTACTCTTTAAGTTTGTCTTTATAGGTTATTGTGAGACTAAGACGCTTTGCAGATCTAGTAATTAGGTTACATGCATGCATGGATTGGATGTCCTTGAAGCTAATTGTGCCAGAAGAGCACAGTCATGCGACGTCTCTTACCAGTGTTCCTACAGTAATAATTGATTGGACTTTGAACGGAGACGGCTGAGGTTCCCTCTATTCGGAATTACATAATGACCTATCGGTGACCTCTTAATTGAGTATGACCGCAAACATAATGTTGAACAGTGTTTATGGGCACAGCCTTGTTTTGTTCAGGACGTCTCGATCGATCTTTAATCATGTACGTAAGAAGTAATTAGAGTAATTAAGTAAGTAATTAGTCTATTAGGCCCAGTTCAGACGCCGTACTTCACATGAGCCGAATCGAATTCGATGAATTAAGTTCATGTGAGGTACGGCGTCTGAATCAATTCAGAACGGCTGAATGAATTCGGATCGGCTCAGCCGTTATTCCCGCCTGGCTCAGCCGGGAATAACGGCTGTGGACTGGCTTTGATTCAGACGCCGAACTTCACATGAGCCGAAACAAATTTAAGCTCGGCGTTTGAATCAATTCAGCCGGTCTAAATTAATTTGGGTCGGCCTAAATTCGAATTCGATTCGGCTCATGTGAAGTACGGCGTCTGAACTGGGCCTAAGGTGAAAGAAAAGTGTATAATGCTGTCAGAAACAGGACAACCAAGATTGTTTATTAAAATAACATAATTAGTTACTGAGGCTTATTATTTCTGCTCCGGCCATTTAATTTCAAGTAATAATACGATCTTAGTTCAAGTAGAGGAGAGGAGGGTGATACTTTGAGAAAAAGGTTATCCAAAATTATATATCCAAGTGACTTGGTAGGTGCAGAATGTTTTACGATTATGATATTCTAGCATGTCTAGCATCGCGTTATCTTGGAAGCAAATAAGTAATTATGAACAAACCGAAAGTTTTCTTGGCGGTTAGACCGGGGTGGGGGAATCCCCATGTGAAAGGGGCGAAGATGCTTGTCGGACAAATTTGAATTAAACCCCTAAAGCTAAAGGAGACCAATATGGACGTGGCTCAAGCTTTATTTGATCGGTATAGACCACCAACAGTGTGACGGCGTTTTCATTTCGAATTCTTCGCGTGCAATCCTAAACGATACCTTGATGGCTAAAAATATTTGCGTTCCGTCCTGAACACGCGAAGTGATACCAAAATCCGAAATTTACCCCCGTAAACGAGACGACGAGCATCCCCGCCCCTTTCACTGTGAATTGAAGAGCGAATCATTTTTCCATCTGCTTTAATTTAACGCTTGGCTTTCTTCAAAGAAAACAAGAACTCCTAAAGGAGTTAACAAGCGGCCGATAGGGAAACAACAATCATCCACCTCTCCTCCCTCTCGGTCACTGGACTCTGAGGTGCACCCCCCAATTCTAAGAGTCTACATACGAACCTGCGTGACGAAAACCGTGACTGCGTGATGCAATATTTATATTTTAAAAGCTTGAGTCAAGCTCACTGCGTAGAAACTGTAATATCTAACCAAATGCCGTCAACTAAAAGCCAAATAAACATTTGAACACCAAGAATAGATACGCTACTATTGTGGTTGAGGGGCATGTAATAGGTCACCCTGGCTCCAGAGGTCAGTTATCGACTGGTCCGACTGTTAAACCACGAAAGCGGTTAGAAGAAGACCGAAGAAGCTCCCGAGCGCGTTGCGCATCGCTGTCGCGGCTTCGCCGCTCAAAAAATAATAACCTCTGGCACCCAGGGTAGTAATAGGTTTAAACAGAACACAAATTATCTGGTCACTATTAAAAATTTTAGCCACTGACCCAAAGTTGCATAACAACGGAAAATCATTTTCCGCGGTATCAAAGCACACCTTGTGATGTGTCATGTTCCTTAACTTTGTTGTTACTTCATCACTTAGTAACGCTAAAAATGGTTAATACGCATATATATCTTTCAACACCTTACTACTACGAGCGCGGTCACAAAGTTACCACGGAAAAAAGTCCATTTCTTGAAGCGGCCGCCATAGGCGTCGGCCGCTTAATCAGATTGTAATTAGTTTATTTAAAATAGCGAGGAAAGTTCCATGTTAATAAATTAACTTGGCGTAAACATGTTCTAGTATAGCCTGTTCTTTTCTAATCTATTTTGCAAACAGCGAGGTGTGTTTCCAATAAATAAATGGGGGTGTTTTGGGGAATGGGGCGAGTGATAGAGAAAATGAAAATAAAGATATACTTATGCCCCGTTACACAAGAGCATAAACGTATTTGAAAGCTGTTAAGTGAAACATATTTTCAAATTGTTTTGTGCGTAAGCGTTACGTTCTGTCTGATAAAATATTGTTTTTATTTGGAAGTGCTCAGTGAAAGTGGGATGTTATTTAACCCTCTGTAAAATTAAGGCTTGACTAAAAATATTTGGTGACCCGGTGTAATATTGTTTTACTGGAAAATAGACCACTCGTAAAATTCATACGAAACTACATCCGGGACCCGAGTGGCGTATTTTCCATATCCTCACTTGTGAGGATATCGATGACGTCATTTCCCGCTTATGCATGGTTGTTTGTGCAAAAGCTGCCAAACGCCGGTTGAAAAATGGCGAGCAATAGATTCGTGAATTCACTGAAGCCGACATGAAATCGTTCACTGAGGAGTAGGAAAATGCCGTAACACGATATTCTCTGTATTCATCATAACTATAATAAAATTCTCGAATCCGATTGGCTATCAGCATACCCTATATTTGAACATTTGGCTGAGTTATTGAACACTGAGTACGCGTCATTTCAGTACCGTCCTGTTATTGTACAGATGCACTGGAATGAGTTCCCATGAATCTTGAAAAAAAAAAGTTTAAGACTGTGGATTGACAGGCAACAGTGTTGATTAAGTGCTCTTATTTAGCGGTACAAAAAGATATCACTACAGAAAGTATTGAACCGTGAGTGTCTAAATATAGTGTCACTGTATTTCCTAGAATCGTTTTCTTAGGATGAGTTCGATATCCGAGAATTCCCAGAACTGACCAATGAAAGGAAGTAAGTTGTATCTTGCCAGATGTCCAAATATAATAATAATAACAACTTTATTCATGTGTCAAAATGTCTTAGCTGAGGGAAAGCCCTCTACTAATAGAGGACACCTACCTAAAATGAGATAATTTAAAATTGTTTCCTTATGCGTACGGTCCTGATCGGCTGGTTGTATTTTACAGTGAACTGCATTGGTCCAATGCACGTGAAAAGAAGGTGATCTGCGACCAATCACGCCACAAAAAGAAATAATGGTCGATTTTAACTGGGTACTTTTACAACTCATGATAATCACATGACTCTGACTCTGTTATCTTTGTGTTCGAAGTGGCTTGCTTTAATTTCCCTGAATCTGCTGTTGCATACAGGCCAAACTTCATTTCTTCAAGTAAGCACGGCAAGAAATGTGTACCTTATCTAATGTTTACTTCAGTTTACATATGAAAGGCAGTGCATTCAGTTTTCAGTAGCTTTTCTGAAAACTAAGACATAAGTTTGATTTATGTTATAGTGTGCACATAGCATAATTTGCGCGGGAAAAATTGTTTCAAAACAGACTTGGTGTAAAGTTTCTAAAGTTGTGTCGTACACAAGTAATGACATCTCCTGTCCGCCCCAGGCTCAGCCCCAGTTGACTCAGTAATGAGAAAAATTTAAGATGCGGGAAGAATGGTAAGGAGAAGAAAAACTATCTTCTTTCCTCTGTAATCCCTTTCATTCCTAGTCTCCTACGCAGCCGTTATTTGTGTCGTCACGCAACGCTTAGGGGAGAAGCGTTGCGTGACGACACAAATAACAGCTGCGTTGGAGACTATTTCATTCCCAGCGTTTCACGATTTCTCATTAGAGTGGACTGGGGACGGGTCAGCGTCCGACCCTTTCCCCTTATGTGTGTGGTTGGTGTTGCCCAATTCTTCCCACGCCAGTTCAGAATTTTTTTAAACTTTTGCTGCAGCTAGTTCAGCTAGATAATGACCAACTCATGTCAGAAAAGCAAAAAAAATGGGGGGTCACCGTGCTCGTTTCGGAGATTTTAGGTAAAATTAGCCTTACAGAAGGATGCTTGTAAGTCATGCACACCCGAATTAGTAGAAAAATTAATCGCAAATGAGTAGAAAAAGCGAAATAATCAAAACTTCTCACATTCAGAATTTTGTTTTTCTTAAAATGGAGAGAATCAGTAAAGGAAGTGATCTATGGAATGAAAAACAGGGGTCACCGTGCATCCAAGAGAGTAAAATCCTCGCCAAGTTTTTGAAGCGGCCTCCAGCACTATATTTGTCAGTTCAGGAGCCCTGGTCAGTTCCATTCTCAGCGCGCGCGGGCTGGATGCATGACGTGCCGCGGCGACGGCGGCATGAATACCGTGCGCAGTAAGGATGCGCACTAGCAATGGGTGCGAACGTCCTTAAATTCACTTCTTCCGCTCCTTTCGAGT